GGTCTTGGGGCGTTACAAGCCCAAAGGCACATCAATTGCTCTCTTAGCCGTGTGAGGTGCCCCTCTCCATAGTTTACTCCTCCGGTCATAGCGTCGTAGTGCCTAGGCGAAGCCCTGCACGGATCACATCACTATCACCGTCACCACGCCGCCGTGCTGACGAAACTCTCCCTCGATCCTCTGCTAGATCAAGAGTTCGAGGGAGGTCATCGAGCTGAATGTGTGCTGAAGACGGAGGTGTCGTACGTTCGGTACTAAGATCGGTTGGATCGTGAAGATGTCCGACTGCATCAATCGTGTTAACCTAACGCTTTCGCTTTCGGTCTACGAGGGTACGTGGACACACTCTCCTCCTCTCATTGCTATGCATCTCATAGATAGATCTTGCATGATCGTAGGATTTTTTTTAAAATTGCATGCTATGTTCTCCAACAAAGCACATCAAAGCCAACGACCACTTCACTCAGCACAATAGATCAAGGAAGAAAGATTGCAAAGCCAAGCCCCATCTCCATCTACCTAGATGGCAGTGAAGAGAGGGAAGATAAGGGGCTGCATCGATCCAATCTACGAGAAAACCGAGCTTATTGGGGGAGATCTTGCCGGATCCTCGAGCCACCTTCACCTTCCACCATGGAAGGCTATTGCAGGAGAGAGCCAACAATTTTCAGACACCGCTCAAAGATGCTAGAGCAGAGATATGCAATGGCATAACACAAATCACCTTCAAGTAGGACACCTAGACCTAGTCATACACCTAATAGTTTATCTACATGAGACTACATAGACCTAGTTACCTTTCTTATGCTCGCTCATGCCTCACCACTAGAGGAGAAGGCAAAGGAGTCAGGCTAGAGGCGGCGACTCTCAAGGAGGAAGATGAGGAGAGAGAAAAGGAGGGGGAGAAATAAATGTGTTCGTCGTACACTAGTAGACCTGACGACACCTAATTCATAATCAAGGACCTCAATTTTATATACATACGTTCTGTAATAGGTTTCAATGTTGTTTCATGGTTTCATCAAAATTTCATATGGGTTATAGGGGAGTCTATAGTGGTTTTGATTTTTAGTTGGATGATCATGGGAAACTTTAACAAAACGAATGTGAAACACATGCCCATTGAGAAATGTGTATGAAAACTATGTGAAATTTATGTAAACATTAATAAGATTTTGGGGTGTGCTCAACCATTTAAAATTTTCTTGTGTATTATTTTAATATTTTTCTTAAAAATGAACAAATGTAACTATATTGAATTTTTGTGGAGATTCCTTTAAATATTATTTGATTTTAATTTTGAGAAAGCAAAATTGTTCAACAACATTATCATCCTTAAAGAAATGGTGAAAGCGTGCATAACATCTGAACTGAGATTTAGGATTTATTTTTCAAAACAAACTGGGTACTCCACTAATGTAAACGGAATATGGCAAAATTTCGACGTCGAGTACAAAAAAAATATTTTGAGGATTTAGATTTCACACTTAGAACATGTGAGTCAAACACCAGACTGAGAGGAAGTGGTTGTTCACATTCTTTGCCGCTAGGCCTGAGTTACTGGCCAACATAGTTAACTGGTATGTTATAAGCTTCAAATATAAATGACTAATACATTAGTTTTTTCTCCGCAAAATCTGAACCCACCAAAAAAGAATTGTATCAACATAGAAGAAAATGACTAATAGCCGCACAAAATTGGCTATTCTATGCCTTTTCTTCTTTATATTGATGTAGAAAAAAGGGAAATAATTAAAATGCCACAAAAAATGTTGTTTTGAGAAATGTTGCAAGTTGTGGTAACTAAACAAATACAATTTTGAGGATCAAATGTTAGCGCATGACATTATATTTAAGAAGAGTGGGAGTTTACAATAGCATATATCCGAGTTATGCTTGACTAACTAACCGATGGATCTATTTCACTGTAAGGAACATGTAACTTTTGATCAATGTAATTATTTAGCAATCGACACGTGTATTTTAGACAACATAGAGAAATACACGAGAAGACGAGAGAAGAAAAATGAGGCGGTGTACTCGGCCACGAATCTACATCTTACATGGTCTTTAAAGACCATCTACTATTCTTCTTCCCTCCACCTCCCAAACCAACCTTACCATAGTTGTCATCGCCATTGACTCCACCTAGCAGGTGGACACCTATACCAAGCCTTCTCATTCACCCTTCCCCCTACTCTGCCCCCTCCCCACCCGTAGGTCCGTCCTAGCTAGCTGATCTCACATGGTTTTGCTTGTGACTATAACCACTTCAACAAGGTTGAATTACTCCGCTGAATTGTTGGTGGCACCGTTGCATCATTAGTGACTCTGTCTCACCATCCTAAACACTCCAACAAGGTCTATGTCGATGGTGTTTCGCAAAGTGTCAGGACATTGATATAGTAACGTATGTGGAGTTGTATGACAGTGGGACGTAATCTCATTTTATTGATGGTGTTTCATAAATCGTTCTCGAGGGTAGCAGGATTTCACCAAATTGTTTCCACGTAATGTAATTAACTTTAGAGTTCATTGTCTTGATAATTTTTTGTGAGGTGAAGCCTATGCTTATGTACAACCCTTTCTTGGACAAAATACATACTTATTATTATATCCTCTATGAAAATATATGCAAATAAAAAACTGATAATTAAGATTACATCTAACCATAGTGATCAAACCTAGGGTGCCATCAATTCCTCATGCAATAGTTCACAACCCTAGGGATCAGTAATATCTGTTACTACGACTTCTCATCATAAACAAAATAACCACAAAATTCTCTCATGTAGGCCCTTATAGGTGATGTGACATGCAGTCAATATTCACACACCACCACAAGAGAATTGTAGCACAATGTAATAACAAGACATCAAACTTTACACAATTTTACATGGTCACTAACAATTGGGATTCTCCCGGATCCTCAAGAATTCAACGACTACTCACAACACATCATATTGATCATGATCAGTGTGGTAAAGATATATGGATAACTATCTAGACACGCAAATCTTTTACCAAATAATCACTAAGCATCGACTGTAGATAAGTAATCAACACCAGGAAGTGATCTCAACAAGAAATCTGAGGTAATGATTCATAGATTGAAACTAGGATGGCGATGGAGGTGGTGATGATGATGGTGTTGGTGAAGATGGAGTTGGTGACGATGATCCCTGCGATGATCAGAGTGCTAGTGATGTCATTGGCTTCAATTTCCCCCACCCGTAGAGGAAGGATCCCGATAAATCAGCCTTTGGGGAGAGAAAAGCTCACCTCTCTGTTAAAGATGGTGGCAAAAAATCCTCGATAAATATTTCTGTCAGTTTTAGGGTAAAATGGGAACGGTGCTTCCATGCAACATTAGAGACATGGCATGTGGGCCCCACATGCCCTCTTGGCGTGGCCAGCGCGTGTGGGCCCCACAAGGGGCCTCCTGGCCCAAGTCTGGCTCCGTGGCTCTCTTCCCATATAAAACTGGCATTCTAAATTTTGCTATTTTTCTGAGTTATTCATTTTCTCCAACGGATTTCATTTTGGTGCCTTTTTGCAATTTTTTGGCCAGTTGCCCTTCCTCCGTTGCGACAAGCAAATTAAGAGGAAAAAGATATAATAACGGTGTAAAATGCAAAACATGAATAATTATGAGCATTTTATAATAAGATATAGTAGTGCAAAATTGACGTATCATTTTTCGACGTTGTCGTCTTAGTTGTCCAAGTAGAAGATGCCCCAGTTCCTTGTGTCCTCGGGCTATTTGCTGCCCGGCCCCCTTAGTATGAACCCTCACGACCTTGATCTCCTGCTAATGGATGACCTGAACTTCTCCTAAACTTGATCTTATAGTTGTGGATTACTCGGGCTCCCCCATATTTTGTGGGCAGCCACTTTCCTCCTAAGAGTGTTAGGGTAGAGCTCATTTTAGGCGTCCTTCCAAATGAGGAAAGGCCATATGTGGTAGCTAGAACGGGGTCCGAATGACTTCATTTCAAGTCTGCATGGTGCGTATGGGAGAGTTTTTGCCTCCCATTGTCAGTCTCCTCTTTCTGCTTCTTCGACTTCTTTGCCGACACTTTCACCTCTTAGTTCACTAATGTTGGCGGTTGGCGTCAAATGCATTTAAAAAATAAAAAAATCTGATTGTGAATATACCAAAATAGATGTCTTTGTGTGCCAAGTCGTCAGAAACAATGAAATAGCAGGATCCCATAGATGGTAGGGTGTTGAGTTGGTGGCTATAACACGACAAAAAATGGTTAGAATTACTAATTTGAAGCAGGGTAGACAACTTAGGTCCTAGGGTGGAGCAATATCACAAGGTTGTGGGGAGGCAATTACAACGAGACATCGACAGAAGGGAGACGAAGATCACCCAGTTATCAGCCCAAAGTTCGGCCCAAAAAAGAATAAAGTTACATTAAGGTCCATGTATTACTAAGAGTATATTGACTTTGAAAATAATAGGTTTAAAATCTCTAATCAAAATATTTGGCCAGGTCGGCTTTAAGATCCGTCGGATTGTTATAATTATACACAGTCCCTCGATAGTTAAGTGTGTGTGTGGTTACTTCGTCAACCCCCGAAGCTTCGTAAATCTGGTCTTCAGTAGAGGTTGCGTAATTTTTATGTGTGCACCTACAATGTTAACATAGGTTTCCGAAAAAGATTGTGGTGAATTGGCCTTTTGGGGCGTGTAAGTGAGCTCTTTCTTGACAGGAGTGAGTGAGGAATCCAAGTGACCCGTTCTTGTCCAAGCAGCAGCTTGCAGCAAGCAATTCAGCCAAAAGCAACTGCAAACACGAAGCTCCCACCACTGATTAAAATATCGCAAAATAAACTCCATTAGCCATTTCTCTTCCATTATTACCTCCCTTTAAATAGCCTCTCCACTGCACCCTCCTCAACTCGTGCTAAAACCCCACAGCAGCAAAGCATTCCCAACGAAGACAAGAATCCTCTCTCACTCCTCAGTCGGTGCTTCCACACAGACAGCGATGGAGCCGAACATGGCGCCGCGGAGGCTGTGGCACGTGGTGCGCGCCGTGCTGTTCATGCTCCGCAAGGGCATGTCCAAGCGGAAGCTGTCCATGGACCTCCAGCTCCTCCTCCACCGCGGCAAGATCGCCGGCAAGGCCCTCAGCAGGCTCATGAGCGCCCACGGCCACCACGACCAGGCCGCCTCCAGGTCGGCCGCGGAGGCACCTCCGCCGGCGTCGTTGTCGCGCCGCACCCTCGACCCCGCGCTCGCCGTCTATGGCCCGCGCGGCGCCGGCCGCGAGGTGGAGTTCAGCTGCAGCAACACCCCGTCCTACCCGCCCGTCCAACTCATCCCCGCCAAGCGCCGCCGCCGCAACAACCGCCGCACCCACCGCGGCGCCAACGGCGCGGAGCCAGGGTGGTACAACTACGACGCGGCCGACATTGCCAAGGTCTTCGAGGTCCTCAACGACGAGCAGCTGCTGAACGAGGTCGTCGGCGACGGCGGTGCGGCGCCCCCCGCCGTGGTGGCGACGCCGTCCCCCGCGCTGTGGTCGAGCTTCGGCCGCAGCCCGGCGCCGGTGAGGCAGCTGCGGATCACCGACTCGCCGTTCCCGCTGAGGGACGACGCGGCGGATCTGGAGGGCGGGCTGGTGGATCAGGAGGCGGACGAGTTCATCAAGAAGTTCTACGACCAACTGCGCAGGCAGCAGAACCTCGCCGCCGCCACCCCGGAGTACGGCTACGCGGGTCGGGCCGCCGGCGTCGCGTACTAGGAGCTACACTCGCCTACGTGCCGATCGAAACGTCCATGCATATAGGTGTTAGCTACTTCCCGCGCGCATGCATCTTTCCGTTCCAAGTGTGAAGTGTGAACCTGCCTGCTCCAGTACATATATGGTTGTGATCTTGTGCGTAGACCAAGCATGTTTGTACGTAGAGAGCTCACTTACTATCACTCTAATAAGTTTCTTGGAGCTAGCTGTGAGATTTTTCGTGTTTGATCAGTTGCTGTAGATCCATATGCATGTACTATATCACTAGTTCACGACTACTAGTAGGTAACAAGATTGCACAACCTGCCATGTATATGCGCTGTGTATGGTAGACTAGCCGATCGAGTTTGTGGCTTTGTACTTGTCGTTCATCGAATTCAAACAAGGATGGCTCAGTGCTTCAGTCAGATTGTTTGTTGCTGATTTTGTTATCGTAAGTCGGTGCCAGTACCACAACACAGCGACAACAGTAGAGCGACTGTCCAATTTTATTTTCTTTTGAAGCGAGAACCATAGAACAATCGTTCTACGATATTTTTATTAATCAATAATAGAAAAATACAGAGTGCCGAATTTCTTCAGTTGTTCGCGTATTGGTTTTGGAGAATCGGTCGACCTGTCAAACATCCGAGGATATCTGATATCTCAATCTCAGTTAATTGCTTTGGACCAGTATAGTACACTGCTTAGTTTTTTTTTGAAAAGGGGGTGTACCCCAGTCTCTGCATCAGAAAGATGCATACGGCTCATATTATTAAAAGGATAATCTAGTAACAAAGTCTTGAAAGGTCGTAGTGCAAACATAAACAAAAGCTCAAAAGAGGTAAGACCCAAAGCCACAACCGGCTGGCAAAATACAATAGGAGCACAACATGTCTATCCTATTACATGACCGCCGTCCAAACCGGTTGAAAATATCCCGAGCTACCATCTCCCATCGGGCAGACGCAGTAACCAAACGCTCCCTGGCCTCCGTCGGAGTGAGTAGCGACCACATACGGATGAACACCGTGGCCTTGAAGATAACCTGCAAAAAGTGAATGTTTGTTGATCTGTTAAAGACTAAATCATTTCTACAGTTCCATACTTCCCAAAATAAAGCACAAACGCCAACCCGAATGTGTCTTGCAGTATCAGAATCAACCCCATCAAGCCATGTTCCAAATAACATGTTGATAGAGGTGGGCTGATTAATATTAAACGCAATATGAATCGACCGTCACAGAATCTTAGCCAACGGACAATCGAGAAAGAGGTGTTTGATGTTTTCGTTATGATCGCAAAAGCTACATCTAGACGAGCCCACCCAGTTGCGTTTTGCAAGGTTATCCTTAGTCAAAATGACTTGTTTATGCACAAACCACATAAACACTTTGATTCGTAAGGATACCTTAACTTTCCAAACGTGTATCATGGTAGGGATGACGCTAGAGTTAATGACATCCAGATACATTGATTTGACCGAGAACACACCGTTCTTAGTAAGTTTCCAATGCAGCTGATCTGACTGCTGGGACAGCCGGACTTCCATTAAACGTCTAACAAGATGAAGCCAGGCCTCCCAACGATTTCCAACTAGCGTCCGTCGAAAACTAATATTGAGGGGAGCGGATTGTAAAACATTTGCAACGTAGGCTTCTCTACGTCGGACAATGTTGTACAAAGTAGGATATTGAAGTGCAAGGGGGGTCTCCCCAAGCCACGTATCCTCCCAAAACCTCGTAGTGGCATCATTCCCGACAATAAATTTTGTCTTGTTCAAAAAGAGGTGTTTAACTCTCATCAAACCCTTCCAAAATGGTGAGTCGGAAGGCCTCACATTCACCTGAGCCAAGGTTTTAGCATAAAGATACTTATTATGCAAAATATGTGCCCAAGTAGCCTCCGTCTCAGATGACAGCTTAAATAGCCACTTGCTAAGGAGACATATGTTTTTGACTTCCAGATTTTCAATACCTAGACCTCCTTGGTCCTTCGGCCTACAGATAATATCCCACTTAGCAAGCCTATACTTTCGTTTAAGCTCATCATTCTGCCAAAAGAATCGAGATCGGTAGAAATCTAACCTTTTCCTGACGCCCACCGGAACCAGGAAAAAGGATAAGAGAAACATAGGCATACTGGTAAGGACCGAATTAATCAGAATCAATCGTCCTCCGTATGACAGGAGCTTCCCTTTCCAACAGCTCAGTTTCTTTTCAAAACGATCCTCGATGCATTTCCACTCAATGTTAGTCAGCTTATGATGATGAATGGGTATACCTAAGTACGTAAATGGTAATGAGCCCAATTCACATCCGAACAATTGTTGATACGTCTCCTGGTCCTCATTTGCTCTTCCAAAGCAAAACAATTCGCTCTTGTGGAAGTTGATTTTGAGCCCAGACAATTGTTCAAATAAGCATAACAGCAGATTCATGTTTCTTGCTTTCGCCAAGTCGTGCTCCATAAAGATGATAGTATCATCAGCATACTGAAGAATGGAAATCCCGCCGTCAACTAGATGTGGAACCAGGCCACCTACCTGCCCTGCATCCTTTGCATGACCTATTAAAATAGTTAGCATATCAGCCACTATGTTAAACAGGATCGGTGACATAGGGTCTCCTTGCCTTAGCCCCTTGTGTGTTTGGAAATAGTGTCCTATGTCGTCATTCACCTTAATCCCGACACTACCTTTTTGCGTAAAGGAATCAATCTGGTTTCTCCAGGCCGGATCAAAACCTTTCATACGCAAAGCTTGTTGAAGGAAAGGCCATTTAACTTTATCATATGCTTTTTCAAAATCCACTTTAAAAACTACGCCATCAAGTTTTTTTGAGTGGATCTCATGGAGCGTTTCATGCAAGACAACAACCCCTTCAAGGATGTTTCTATCAGGCATGAAAGTAGTCTGGGACGAATGAACTACATAGTGTGCAATCTGCGTAAGTCTGTTCGTCCCGACCTTGGTGAAGATTTTGAAACTCACATTAAGCAGACATATAGGCCTGAACTGCTCAATGCGAACAACCTCTGTCTTCTTAGGAAGAAGAGTTATCGTCCCAAAATTCAGCTTAAACAACTGAAGCTGCCCCTCAAAAAACTCCTGAAACATGGGCATCAAATCTCCTTTGATAAAATGCCAGCACTTTTTCTAGAACTCCGCCGGAAACCCATCCGGTCCTGGAGCCTTATTATTCTCCATTTGTGCAATGGCCTCAAACACCTCTTTCTCCGAGAAAGGAGCAGTCAGGAGCTCATTCTCGGCAGTCTCAAGTTGAGGAACATCCTCAACCCTAGACTCATCTAACGACACAAAAGTCTCTTCCGGGGGACCAAACAACTGCTTATAATAATTGGTAATGTAAACTTTCAGATTGTCTTGACCAACTATCGTCCCTTCGTCTTGTTCTAGTTGGAAAATTCTCTTTTTACGATGCTTCCCATTAGCAATCATATGAAAGAATTGAGTATTATCCTCGCCTTCTACTATTTTGTGAACCTTAGCTCGCAACGCCCACTTCAATTCCTCCTCGCGAAGAAGCTTTTTAAGTTGCATCTCCGCCTCTATCTTTGTTTCCAACTCATTGGAATCCAAGATAGAAGTTTATGCTTTAACTTCAAGGTTTTGAATAAGTAGAAGAAGTCTCTCCTTCTCCGCCTTATAAATTCCATGCGTGTGCTTAGCCCAACCACGAAGGAACCTTCGGGGATGACGAATCTTGCATTGCCATCGCTCGATAGGCGTCCTTCCTCCTGAGTCATTAGCCCACTCCCGAGCTAACAACTCAAGGAACCCTTCTCTTTCAAACCAGGCAAGTTCAAACGAGAAAATGTTCTTGTTGCCCACAAAAGTTTGAACTCCGGAGTCGACTAGTAACGGTGTATGATCCGAGACACCTCGTGTCAATGCCTGCACAGTTACCAAAGGAAACTTCTGCTCCCATTCGACACTTGCTAGAACACGGTCAAGTTTCTCAAATGTCGGAACCGGTAACGAATTAGCCCAAGTGAATTTCCTACCCAAGAGCTCAATCTCTCTGAGATCCAAGCTTTCGATAATAGTGTTGAACATAAACGACCATCGGCCGTCAAAATTGTCATTATTCTTTTCCTCTTTTCTTCGGATAATGCTTAGTTTCCAGTGAGATCGATAGATGTCAGCGTCCTATGAACGAACCCTCACAACAGCTTTCTCACAACTCACAACTCACAAAAGATTTTTCGGCAGCACAACCAAACACTCTCTTAGAGTAGACCATACAGTCTGAAGCATCTACAGCTAGATGAGATTAACTGTGCTCAATTGAGTTGTTTTAGTTGAAAACTGATTATCTCCGTACCCATCGATCGATCGTTTTTCTCTTTTGTCTAGTATATCCTCTCCTTCTAATCTTTGTCCAATGTATTATTATACCCTTCTTAGCATGAAACTAAGGTGGTTCATGCAAAAGCTCGAACAAATATGAAATTGTTTACATGCAATCAGTTCTAATCATCTGTAAGCCAATAAAGTCTCATTCGCAAAAAAAGAGCCAATAAAGTCTCATGAGGAAAATATTATTGTTGCAGCCTGGCCAAAAAATAAATCCCGTATATCCAAAATTAAGCACTAAAACTTGCACGAGGTGCAAACTCTGGTAAATCATGAAAGCACGTTCAACTAACATGAAATAAAAAATAAACCATAAATAATTTTATTGAAATTGAAAGTGCTTATTTCATTTGTACAAAGTTTTACATTGATGACTTCTGTTAAAATATCATGTAGTCATGCATGCTCCTCAAGAAATGTTTATATATCTTAACCCAGAAATATCAGAAGCACACAATTGATCATAACATAAAATTGTTGTTTGAATTGTTTAGACACAGCTCATGAACGAGGACATGAAAAAAAAACACTGAGGTATATAAACTGAAAACTTGGAGCAGTTAAGAGTTCATAAGTATCTTTAAATATTAGGTACATAGTAATAGTGATAATGGTTAAAGCATTGTCTAAACTTTGTCCACAA